CACCGGCTACCCCGTCCGCTTCCTCCGCGGTCCTCTCTCTTCCTCCCCAGCCGCCTTCCCGCCCGCCACCCCCTGCGGCCTTCACCTGGGGTACACCGAAGCCCCGCCCCCGGCTCTCGCCGGGTAGGTTTCGGCCTTCCCGCCCCAGCCTCTGCTTTGGGAGACCTTCCCCGGTCAGGCCGTCGGGGGAGACGCCCCTGACGCGAGGCCGGTGCCCGCGCGCCGAGGGCGCTTCTTGTTCCGTCCTCGATCCGGAGGGGAGGCCGCCAGGCTTTATTTCTCCAAGGCGCGGCTCCCTGCAGACCTTCCCTCACCTGCTTGTGGAGCGGGAGGGATCAGAAGCTTGTAGTCCAGGTAGGAAGATAGGTCGGCGGCCTATGGAAGTAATTCTCAAAATGCCCATCGCCGAGGAGTGATGTGGCAGAGGGCCGGCAGTCGGGCGCTTCCTGGCCTTGCCGTTTAGCTGCGCCAGAGGGGAAGAGAGAGTTTGTAGCTGGGCTTCGGCTCCTGCCTCTCCTCCGCGTCACCCGGGCTCCTGCCCTTAGAACTTTGCCCGGTGCTACCCCTTTCACGCTCGGGATGCCGAGTTCTGAGCACGTATCTGCCCTGCACAAAAGCCTTCTGGCTCCCCACATTCAGTGACCTAAGTCGAAACTCCTCATCTTGCATCTGTAAGGAGCACTCTGCCCTACCTGCCCCCCACTCTGCCTGCACCTTCAGGCCGACGGTCCCTCCCCTATTGGCTTGTAGAAATTCTGTGGCTCCTTAAACATTTTTTCCCCATTTTTTGCACCAAAGAGAGGAGATTCCTCCTTCTTTTAAAGTCCCCAAACCCCTTTGTATTTTTTCAAAATGAAGTTTCCTTTAATGTTTTTTTTTTAATTACAAAAGCAAAACCTGCTCGTTACAGAAACACCAGAAAATACCAACAAGCAAAAATGTCATCTGCCAGAAAGAGAGAGAGAAAGGGGGGAGGGAGGCAGGGAGATGGTGGGAGTGGGGCTAAGGGAGCTAAAAGGAGGACGCCTCTGAACCAGACTTGGAAGCAGTGCTACAGAACCACAGGGAAAGTTGTTGCAGACCCAGAGAATCTCGGGTGAAGCCTGGGGTCTGGGCTGGGGCTGTCTGGGGTCGTGGCTGGAGCTCACAGTGTGGGGAGGTATATGGTGAGGTGAGCCTGGGGACCTAGTGAGGGGTAGGGTGCAGAGGAGCCTCCTGGTCCTGGACTCTGCATTTTGAGGTGAGGGGCCATTAAACGGTTTAAGGGGCTGCGTGATTTAGTTCAATCCCTACCTATACCTTAGGTAGCTGGGTGGGGGTGGGCAGGAGGGGCAGGAGGGCAGTTGGTTGTCCCCTTGAGGGGAAGGACCATTGTTTGTATGTCCTGGCCTCGGCTCAGAGCCTTGGTGAATTAGACTGAAAGTTGAGGTGTTGTACCTGGGGACCTGCAATCTGGTGATTCCAGGGAAGCAGCAGGAGATGAAAGGGGAGCTGAGGACTGAGTGGAGATCAGTTAGGAGGCTGTTGAATGGTTCAGGTGAGAAACAAAGAGAAGTGAACTAAAGTGGGGCAATGGGGTGAGACCAGAGAATGTGGCAAAACCAGAAGAGGGGACAAGGGACATTGGAGTAGGAGCAGCAGGAAGCAGACTGTGGAGAACTCTGTCCACTGGTGCTTATTGTAGCGTTTCTTGAGTGCCTGCTGTGTTTCACCTACTGTAGGATACGCTGAGACGAACTGACCTCTACCCTACGTGGGTAGCCCCTGGAATCTGTGCTGGGGTGATGTTGCCTAGGAACAGGTAAAGACACAGGTTGTGTCCCCAGCTCTGCCTGAGTCAGGAGTGAGGTTTCCCAGTGCAGGGAATACTGTAGCAACTAACTCTGGAGGGCAGGTCAGCAGAGAAGCCCAGGAGGGAATTCAAGGCAGAGGTAACTTGTGTAAAGGCACAGAGCATGAAACCACGGGCGCCACAGGCTGTGCCTGGAAGCGACCATTAGTGGGTGCCACTGGGAACAAAGGAGAAGGAGGAAGGTGTGGAGAAAATGGGGTTCCCTTAAATGTTGCCCAGTGCCAAGAGCAGCCAAGCAGAGGAATTTTGGCAATGCTTTACCCAATCCAGTGTTCACTGAGGATGGTTGGGGTATGGAAGTATGTGAGGCACGTGGGTAGTAAAAAAGCAGACAATGTCCGATTGTGCTGGACAGTCAGAGTTCACCCATTTTGGGAGAACAGGTCTAAGGAAAGAAAATATTTTATCTCTTTATATTCTACTCCACCACTCCTCTCCGTTAACAAGCACAGTTAGGAGGAATTTAGTAAACCTTTAAGCTTGTAATAGAAACTACTTCTTAGGGCAATTTTGAGTAATGAATAGATAATCCACAGCAGGGCTTAATACAGTGCCTGCCCCAGAAATGCCGAAGGAATGTTGGCTGTTGTTACTATTACTATTATTATTTACACTCAAGAAACGATTGGGGTGGTGGTGGTTATAGTTAAATGCCAAATGACATACAATCAAAGAGGTCCATGTAGTGTGGGTGAGCAGATCTAAGCTCTGTTCTTGGTCTGACCCTTTTGTTTATTTTGGACAAGTCGCTTGCTCTCTCTAGGCCTCAGTCTCCTCACCTGTATCATGAGCATTTTGGATCAGATGTCCTCTCCATTCTGACATTCTACAGTGCAGTAAGCCTCTGGGCCAAAGTGTATTTATTTGTTACAGGCTGTTTAGTTTTACAGGCAACCAGGAAAAGGAGAGATGGAAAAAATATGGTTTGCTTTAGCTGGAAGGGGAAAATCTGGGTAAGCCCCTGAGTCAGAGATCACATGGAGACATGAGGCCTTCCAGGCTTTGTGGTGCTGGAGTGGGGAAACTTTCTCTTTCCTCAGGGATCCTGTTTCTGGAAAAAACCCTGGTTGAGGATGAGGGTCCACTTTGGCTCTTGTGCCGGCTCTTGTGCCCCCCCTCGTGGTAAGATTTGAAATTGCAGGGGCCTGGTGAGCTGATGACCCCTCACCCCCACATCCCTGGAATTGCTCATGCCTTAAGCTGTGGGAGGCAACAGGCAGGACCCACGCTCTCACTGGTTGCTAAGGCCCTCCCAGCCACCACACCCGTGGCCATTTGGAGGCTTGTTTTCTCCTTAATGCTGCTATAGCATTTGACCCTGCTGGCCATCCCTTCTTTCCAGACACTTCTCCTTCAGTGTCTCTGGCGCACTCCCTTGGTTCATTCCCTTTACTTCTAGAAACTTCTTTTTTGTTTTTAATCTTCACCTGAGGAAATGTATATTGATTTGTAGTGAGAGGAAGGGAGGGAGATGAGAGAGAAAGAGAGAGAGAGAGAGAGAGAGAGAGAGAGAGAGAGAGAGA